AATCCATCTCATAAACAGAAATTTCAAAGAGGGACTCGTTTTCTACATATGAGTCATAGGAGTTATAAAAAATCAAGTCCATTCAAAATATATTAACCTCATGTGCTATTTTTTTAAGATTCAAAATTATGGATGATCAACTTGATTACGTCTTATATTTGTAATTCTTAGACGGAAAGGGGTATCTCCCGAACGGACGGTCCAGGTTGACGATTATTCATCGGACGGCGCAGAACTCGTTAAATATTGAAGCCCTGCTGCTGAGAAGTAGCCGCTTGTACCTCAAATTCTCTGTACATTTCTCTCTCTTCACATCTCTCTCTCTCTCCTCTCTGTGCATTTCTATCACTTCACCTCTCTCTCTCTTTCTCTCTCTCTCTCTGTACGATGCGCGTTTTCTCACGTACAAGGAGAACCTGAACGTTGATCTTGAGGCATTGATCCCTTCTAAAAGATTAATACTCGTTCATTTTATATCAATAAATAAACCCTGATTTCTTTTTATTTGGTGAATTTTCGGCGAATTCCCGTTGTTTTTGTGCCGTAATTTTATTGTGTTGCTGCTTCTCTGCAAAAATGGTATGCTTCAAAACCCTTTTTTTATTACATTTTTGATCGAATATCACTATTTGTTTGATATTTTGCATGCTCAATCTGGTGTTTTTTCTGTCCGTTGTATTGTTTGAACTCAAAATGGAACTATAATCTCTGTCTCCTTTATATCCTTCATTTGTTTTCCTTTTAGCTGGCGTTTGGGGATAATGTCTCTCTTATTGAGCAGGGTTTTGAGTTGGCATTAAATTGTCTAGTTTATATCTGTGTACTTCTTATTTCTTTGAGATTTTTCGGCTATATGGAAATCGAAAATGTGTTAATCGAACTTATAATTATTTCTTGGTTGAGAGCACACAAAACTTCAATTGTTTTTTATTCAAGACAGGTATTTATTTTGATATCATTAACTAAAATGGCAAGGTAATTCACAATTGTTGTACTCTCGTAATTTGTACTACTTAATGGCACAAACTTTAACATTTGAAAAACAAGGATAAACATCTTTTGATTCAATAGGGCGTCCTCTAAGTGCTTGAGCTCAGTGAAAAACTAAATGTATTAGTGGTTAGAAAAATTTCAGGAGGATAATTTAATCGTTAAACATGTTTTCTAGCATTTATAAACTTATATAGAATTTAAGGTTATAGCACCTCCAAGAATCAATATCGTGAAGTATTTGCTCTACATTTGTATTTGAGGATTTCTTTCTTATCACCTTCCAATTTTTTCGTTTGTTTCATTCGCAGTTTGTAACCTATGCTTTCTGTTCATTTCCCATGATGAAGTGGTGTTGGTAAGAAAATATCATTGGATTTATGATGAGTACTACATGAAAGTCAATGTTCTCTCGTAGTAGGGATAGGACTCTTGACTTGGAGGGTTATCCTATGGAATCCTATTAGGATTTTCTTGACTTGATTGAATGAAGTTTCATGATTTTTTATTGTTCGTGGCAAACTAAACACACAGGCTTAAGTTCCATTCTTCTCACCTTCATCCTGAAGTTTGACGAGGTGGAGATCGTTAAACATTGTAGTTTTGTTAGACTAATAGTAGGTGTGTACAAAATCCTTGAAAAGGTTGAAGAAAATAGATTGAGTTGAGTTGTGGAGCTCGTAATATCCCCACAAACGCTACGAGGGATGTGTATTTTGTGCAGTGTTTTGGTTGCTGTGAATGTATTGATTCCAGTTGGAAGGTAGGCATGGATTGATTGTGGAAATAACCTTAGATGGACAAATGATCATATGGCTTGGGGATTTCATCATTATCTAATGAGGCTCATGGTTTTTGGGGGCTGAAATTGACATTTTCGATTATGGTGTGCATATCGCATATATTATTTTGCATTTTATCAATGGCTTTTTCTGTAGGATTCTTTATAAAACTTAAGGGTATTAGGCAATGAGAGCCCTTGTCTTTATTTTTTTCGTCTCAACACTGGAGGCTTTTAGCAACTGTCCCAAAGAAAATTAAAAAAAAAAAAAGTGCAGTTTGCGTAAGGTGCCAACCTTAAGCAATTAAAGTAATGTGCACGTCTAAATCTCGCTTAAAGATGCAGTTCCCATACTGTAAATCCTCATGATGGTCTAAAAACCTATTTGAACCCTAACTATGAAATTTAAAGCTATAAACACTTAGGACTTTTGAAAATGGACCAACTAGATCATGTGTTACAGATACACTATTTTTAGGACTTGAAATCCTTTTATTTTGTATCCATATGTCTTGAGGTTAAAATGATCAAATATAGGGTTTCTCCAAGTCGGAATAACCATTTCAGGTGGATTTTGAGGTGCATCTTACTTTTTACACTGTACAGCTGACATCTTATGTAAACTTCATATCATAAAAAATAATTAGTGGAAACCTTTAGCAGAATCATCAACTAGACTTTAGGTTTTTAGTTTGAACAAGGATCTTAGGCCTACAGATGGGAACCATATATATGATAGATAACATGTTATTCATGAAAGATGTGTTAAGTTGCAGAATCGAGAGATAAAGACGTATGGAGGCTCGTATATTGTTCTGAATGAGAAGAGAACAAGTGTGAATTTTGATGAAATAAAAAGATAGTCTCTTCAGAGACATTCACTAATACTGGAATGAAAAAGAAAAGATAGAGGTCTAGGTGGCAAAGCAAAGCACTCAATTTGCGGGATGGGGGCAAGGTGACTGATTTTCCAATGAGAATACTCTTTCTATCATATCTCTTTGTCTTCCACCAAAAATTGTCTCTCTGAGCCCATTGACAATGAATTCAGGGAATCCTTTTGAACAATGACATCGAGGAATCCACCCTTAACAGTAACATTGAGAGAATCCCTATCAACAATTACATTGAGATAATGTCCCTTGATAAGGAGTTGGCTGAGTAATCCTTTACAAATATTACCCTTAAAATCTTTGAAGATATCTCCAACAGTGATGAAGGTGCCAAAGATCTGCCGTCAAAATAAAGCTTAAGGGCCCAAATTCGAGGGAGCTTTTGATGAATTGCTATAGCCATGAATGTCTCTCCTCTAAGGAGATGGCCAATATCCAGTCCAAGGTCAAAGTCTGTTTCTCTGATATTGAAACGTCTTTAACATGATAGCCCAATAGATAGCATTTTGCAAAGAACCGTGCACTATCCTTTCCCATAGGTTACAATATGTATTACAACTGGACTGTGCATTACCTTCTACAAGCCAACAAATCAATGTCATCAATGGGGGGGACCAGGATTTGTGAAAATTGATCTGCAGGTGAAACTCAAACATTCTGAAGAGAAATTTGCTGGAAAGGACCCTGTACAGCCTCAGCTGTCTCTCCAATGAGGCATCCACAGATCTGCAGAAAGCAAAAGAAGAAGTTGAAAGCTTGAAAGATGAAGCAAGATCGTACAAGGATCACATGTTGCAGTTTAAGCACATGGCACAAGTGAATGAAAATGCATTGAAACAGATAGAAGTTGCTCATCATGATTACGGTACAGAGGCAGAAAAATGCAGAGGTTATTAGAAGCTGAAATCGAATATCTGAGGAGAAAGATTTATGAACTCGAAAGTGATCTTTTATCAAAGGACAAAGATATCAATCTTTTATCGAAAGCGATATTAGTTGTTTTATGCTCTGTAATTTGTGAATGTTGATCTATGATATGTTTTTTTAATAATCGGCAAAAGCAAAGAGATTAAGAGAGAGGGAGACAGGCTAAAGTCTTTCATCCTCTCTAAATCATGGGTGTCATTGTATGATTTGTTGCTTTATA